GGGGCTCCCCCGCTCCAGCTGAGGCCTCCGGTGGACGAGGAAGACGATGGAGGCGTCGACGGACACGCAGGCGGCGACTGTGGCCGCGCGATTCACGGCGGCGAGGCCATGGCGGCGCTCGGTTGCGGTGGGGAACGAGGGGGAGATGGATCTGGAGGGGAGAGGGAGAGGCGCGTGGGCCGAGGGCGAGCGTGGGGGCGAGTGGGAGGCGGGATCAAGGAGGCGGGGGGGGTGCTGGCGATCTTATCCCCTGTCGTCGCCGGCGAGAGGGTGCGGCGGGGACGCACCCCTGTTCCGACCCGGGTCGGGGGAACAGGGAAAGGAGGCGGCAGGGGGAGGCGGGCCGGTTCGGCCGGGTGGGCCAGGTGGCAGGGGCGGTGGCTAGCTGGGCCTTTCGGCCCAGGGGGAAGGGGGGTTTCTTCTTTTTCCCTTTCTTTTTTTATGTTCTGTTTTATTTAATTTGGGCATTTAAGCAATTTATAAATTTGTGTCATCTACACCATAATTGCCTATGCCATATTTGGCATTGTCCGAACATTTTTGTTTCAATTTTTGAAAACTTTTATTTTGACATTAATTTGAATTTGAATTTTGAAGCGGTTTCGAATTAACCCAAGATTAACTACAGTGACAGAGGTGATGTGGCACCATTAACGTGAGATTACTGTAGCATGATTATCCGGGCGTCACACTCGAGGACAGTGACGACGACGTGCTGCCGCCGGCCAAACCAGTCCGGCAGTGCGACCCCGGGCAGAGATCCAGTAGGGACGACCGTGGTGTGAAGAAGGAGAAGGAGGAGGACGACGACGACTACGACACCTTCAGCAAGCTCTTCGGCCTGTAGGCGGCGGCGACAACATTTTTTTTCTTTTAGTATATTTTTATGTTTTCAATATGCAAAAAGTTTATGAAACGCCTAAATATCGCCGAATCTATGTCGTGTTTGCCGAATTTTGTTCAAGTATATTTTTTAAAAAAATTACAAAAGCGTCGACTGAGGACGATCTGGGGGTGGCGGCTAGGAACCCGATCACCCCCACGCCAAAATTATCGCCGGTTCGCGGTCTGAACAGCTGGAGATGCTCTCAGAGCGTCAGAGTCCTGCCGGCGGTACGGCCCCGTCCTGACAGGCTCACCGGTCAGGTTCCCCCACTTTCCACTTTCCAGTCCTACGTCTCCGCCGCGAGTAAATAGCATAAAACTACTACTTTACAGGCTAGGGTTCTAAAAAACTACAAGTTTTTAATTTTTCGCTGATAACTACCAAGTCAGGGGTTGACTGTTTCAAAAAACCCTAAACACAGAATGCTTTAAAATTAATCATGATTATGACAGTTGGGACCCGCACGTAAGAGAACCGTTAGTTTGACCGTTTGTTTGACTGTTACCTTACATGTAGGGCCCATATGTCAGTATTTTTGTAAGTTCTTTAAAAAAGCAATGAGGTCCCTGTAACTTTTTTAAAAAAGCAATCGGGTCCCTGGCTGTTTTCTAAAAAAGCAATCGGGTCCCTGACTGCTCTCTGAGGAACGGCGCAGGCAGCTCGCCGGCGGCCTGGTCGCGGCCAAGCGAAAGAAGGCGGCGCGGCCGCCGCGTTCCTTGTCGCGAAGGCGGGGTTCTCTAGTCGTTCCTCGTCGCGAAGGCCGCCGCTAGGAACGAGTGTTCCTCGTTTCGCGACAGGCTAGGTGGAGGAGCTCATTGCCGACAACTGCCGCTGCTCCTAGGCCATTGCGCGCGGCTGGAGGCGGCCAGAGCCTTTGTCCATGGCGCGGCTGGCGGGGGCCCTTGCTCCTCGCGCGTTCCTGGCCATGGCGCGCGGCTCGCGACGGCCCGAGCACCTGACCATGGCGCAGCTGGAGGCGGCCCTTGCTCCTCGGCGCGCTCCCGGCCATGGCGCGCGGCTCGCGACGGCCTGAGCCCCTGGCCAAGGTGCGGCCCGTGCTCCTGCGATGCAGCTGCTCCTCCGCGCGGCGTTCTTCCTTGCCGTCGGTGGGTGGTGGTTGTAGGGGAGAGGAAGAAGAAAGAGACAGAAGGAGAGAAGAGAAGATAAGAGGAACAAGAGGCAACTTACATGTGGGACCCACATGTAAGTTAACGGTCAAACAAAACGGTCAAACAAACGGATTGTTTAGGAGTGGGCTTGATCTGTCATAAAACGGTTTAAATCGCTAGGAACGAGTGTTTAGGGTTTTTTGAAACAGTCAACCCCTGACTTGGTAGTTATCAGCGAAAAATTAAAAACCGGTAGTTTTTTGGAATTCTAACCTGTAAAGTAATAGTTTTATGCTATTTACTCCTCCGCCGCAGATGGTGATCCAGCGCCTCCGCGCCATGCCCTCGTCCGGCAGGCTTAAGGTCCTGGTGGCGCCGCCACGCGTCGACATGGCGTTCTGCGGTGCCTCGGTCACCAAGGGACGGGCCGAACGTCGCCGCCTCCGTTGCTAGGACCTCGCCCGCACCAACATCCCATCGCCGGCAGAGGTGACCCCCACTCCTTCCCCTCCCTCCCTCCCCGCCTGCAATCTTAGTACCAACTAATTAATCGCCCGGTTCGATTATCTCATGATCAATTGAACTTTGAAGCCAATTGGAGTTTAGGTTTCATATAAACATTTTCCTGATTGGATTCCAGACAAGTGGCGTGATGCAGGGTTAAATGAATCTGCTGAACAATAATATACTGTAGCTTATACCTTTGCCTGCAGCCGGCTCACTACTGAATTTTGGTCCTGGTTTGCATTTCGTAGGGGTTTTGACAGTTGAGAGGTAGCTGTTATTGTTTATCTGACATGTTCTAATTTTTGTGAGGTTGCCAATGCTTCATTATCTCTTCCTGCTGATTGCAGAAGACTGGTCGTGTTCGATTGCCGTTATTAGCTATGATGTAGATGCAGTTTATGAGCTCCTTCGTTTGCTTACTAGAGTTTGTTGTGTGGGAAATGAAACCTTAATAGAGCTTATTCAGAGACAGTAATGCGGGTAGGGTGAAGGTCTGCCAACAGAACAGACTGCTAGCTAGATTGTTCATCTTGTAAGGTAGCTTCAGCCTTCAGACCACTTTGCCTCCTTAAGCACTTGCTTTTACATGGTCTTCTCTTCAGCCACAGCAACAGCTTGGGCTACAATCAGCGGGTGGCACGTCACAAGCAGCGGCGGTCAGTATCAAGGGGCGGGGCAAACTAGGCTTCCGCGGCAACCAGGTACACGCTTGTGACATGCCTATCTGCTTGATATGGGGCGTTCTTCTCCGCAGATTGGGCGTAGGTTGGTTCTCAACCCCGTTAACTCTGGTTTGTTGAGGTGAATTTTGTGTTCAAGCCATGTTCAAAATCGAGGGTTAATCCTCTATCTGGTTCCAAGTCAGCTTCCCAAATATTTACTCTGACTGCGCAAATCAGTCTAGCTCTGATCGTTCAGGCTGTGCTTGTATAAATACTACTTACTTGTACAACTAAGGGAAAATCCAAACGTGAAACGAAATGCTATGGCAAGAGAGAAGGGTACAGTCTGCAAGTTTCACTAACTTGAACTAACAAATGGAAAAGCCATATATAAGATATTATACCATCATTCTTTTTGACATGAATTTCTGTCACTAGCTACCATCCTGCCAATCGTTGCTTCATCTGACATCCATGCGTGAGGCCAGATGCTTGATTCTAAGGATCTCGGCAGAAACTTGTCCCATGCCTGGCCGGTCTAACCATTAGAACAACACAGTTCTTCATCACTTCCGGTGCGTTGCTGTCATCTTGTAGCATTGTTGGATCAACAACCTCACAAATATTATCTGGAAATGCTCTACAAACAAATTCATGAAGGCTTGCACCTTCACTGAATTTTCCGTCGTTGGACTTCGCCCTGTTATCATTTGTAACAGAAGCACTCCAAAACTGTAGATATCACCCTTGGTTGATATCTCTTCACTCATGCCATACTCTGCATTTACATTTACAAACACAGTTAAAGAATCTGCAGCATTTGCAAGTTGCAACTCCGTAAAGAACAAACACACCCAACAATCTAACATTGCTGAGGATATGCTTAATCTGACCTGGTGGGATGTATCCGATCGACCCTTTATGAAATGATAAAAGTTTTTACTTCTTGCACTATCTTTTCGATATCCAATGTATCTAATAATCTCACCTGGGTCTTTACTTTTACATGGACAGTGGCCTATATTTTTTCCGATGGATAGCACTTCTTCTTTAATGTAGTCGTTATTCTTACAAATACTATATTTTGCTTTGCCTTTGCTTCCTCTAGTTTATATAGAACTAGATCAATTTTATTATTCAATCCAGAGTACTTTTCTACGAGTCTTTTGTATTTTCTAAATAAACTTTCAAATTTTTGGTCCAAGTTGTCTTTTCTTTTCCCCCAGGATATAAAAAAGCTATATATCAAATCAACAATTGTATTTAGTTGGCTATGAGTAGTATGCCAAATTCTTCAGAGGGATTTATTCTGCACCTTATATCAATATTTTCTTTAGCATTTATTACTTTACCTGTGCTAACTTCTAAATTTAGATACTTCAACCTTTCAATGATTAAACACTAGCTCAGATACCAACAATGCACAATATTCAAGATTAGAATATGTTAATATTCAGTTTATTATTGTTAATATTCGAGATTAATTATTATAAAATCATTAATAAAAAATATTTAAAGATGTTAATATATGATTTGTACTGTTCAAATTTCCTAAAATCAGATACTATATTCATGTGAGTCTACTGTTCAAATTTCAGGAAATTTGAAGTTACATTTGAAAAAAAATAACTAGCCCAGCCGTGAGTTATTGCAATTCTGAGATTAGAGAAGAAATTTTTAAAAACTGAAATAGAGCAAAAGAGAAGATTACACTGTCAACAAGGGTCACTATCTGTCTAACTGAATTCAAAAGAAGGAAAAGCAATAAGATAGTACATCATTATTATTCTTTACACAAAATTTTCTCGCTAGCAACCATCCTGCCTATGCTTTGCTTCATCTGACATACATGCGTGAGGCCACATGCTTGATTCTAAGGATCTCGGTGGAAACTTGGCCCATGTCCGGCCGCTCTTTGGGAGATGTCATGGAGCAAGAGAGGCCTATTCTAACAAGTGGAATGACACAGTTCTTTATTACTTCTTGTGCATTGCTGTCATCTTCTAGCATTGTTTGATCAATAACGTCACAAATATTATCTGGAAATGCTCTACAAACAAATTCATGAAGACTTGCACCATCACTGAAATTTTTGTCAGTTGGACTTTGCCCTGTTATCATCTGTAACAGAAGCACTCCAAAACTGTAGACATCACCCTTGGTTGATATCTCTGCGCTCATGCCATATTCTGCATTTCGTTTACAAACACAATTAGAGAAATCTGCAGTATATGTACAACTCTAAAGAAAAAACGAACCCAATAGTTCAACATTACTGAGGATATGCTTAGTCTCACCTGGAGGGATGTATCCGATGGATCCTTTTAGGCAGGCCAGACTTGTTGAATCACCTTCTTGTACATTTGATGTTGTGAATACAAACCTTGCCAGGCCAAAGTCGGTGACATAGGCAACCATGTCAAGATCCAAAAGAATATTGCTTGGCTTTAGGTCACAGTGTATTAGTGGAGATGCACACTGGTTATGAAGATAATCCAAAGCAAAGGCTACATCCAAGCCAATATTGATCCTTCGGCTTAAAGTCAGGATATGTCTCTCACCATGTTCAAGGTCTCCCGGATGCAGCCACATTTCTAGGTTCCCTTTCGGCATGTATTGGAACACTAGGGCCTTGAAATCTGCCCCATTAGAATCCACAGAAGAACATGATGTGATGATCTTTACAAGATTCCGGTGACGGACATTTCGCAGGGCTTCACACTCTGCAATAAAGCTCCTATTTGCTCCATAATTGTTTAGGCTGAAAATCTTGATGGCAACTTGATCTTCCTGAAGCCTTAAACTGCCCTTGTAAACCACTCCAAATGATCCTGATCCAATTAGGTTTGCTGGAGAAAACCTATCTGTTGCCCTTACAATGTCTTCATATGATATCTTCTTCATGTGCTCACTGAATTCTTTCAAATCTGGATTTTCCTGCATCCTCTTCCTCCAGTAAATTGTTGCAATACATGACAAAATTAATAGGACAGCAGAAACGGCTGGCATTACTATCCGTAGGACTAGAGCCGATGAATTTTGTTTCCCTTTTCTGTCAACTTGTGTTGAACAAAGAGGTATACCTCCTGTTGGAATGCTGGTACACAAATCATGATTTCCTTCAACTGACACTGCACCAGTATTGTTAAAAATACCGCCTCCTGGAACTGCTCCATCAAAATTGTTGAAGGATAAGTTGAGATTTTGCAGGGAACTTAAGGATGTGAGGAACTGTGGAATCTTTCCGAACAAATTGTTATGAGAAATATCCAAGTACTCCAGAACCACACACTGGCCAAGAGTGGATGGGATGTTGCCAGACAACCTGTTATCTGATATGCTAATTTTGTTCACATTAATGAGATTGCCAACTTCCACTGGCACTCCCCCAGATAGGTAATTATGTGACAAGTCCAATTCTTCAGAAAGCGAAGAAATTTTGAAGATTTCACTTGGTATATTCCCATCTAGTGAGTTGTGAGCAAGGTTGAGTATTTGGAGTTGATTACAATGTCCTATATCTGCAGGTATCCTTCCGCTAATGTTGTTCCCATCCAATTTCAAAGAATTTAGCTGAACCAGATTACCAATAGTATCTGGGATTTGCCCTGACAGTCTGTTTTGTGCAAAGGATAGATGGACCAAGCTGTGCAAATTACCAATTGTTGCTGGTATATTTCCAGTGATAAGATTGTAATCCATGTACAACCTGCGGAGGCTCTTAAGATTGCCAATCTCTGGTGGTATAGGCCCAGAAATTTGGTTTTCCCTTAGCCACAGCCACTCCAGACTATCAGAAAGATTGCCTATTGAACTTGGCATTTCACCTTGAAGATTGTTCCCAACCAACATCAGCATAGTCAACCTGGTACAATTTGCGAGTGAAGAGACAAATTCCCAGTCTCCTGCTTCTAGTTTGTTGTATGACAAATCAAGTTCCTCCAAATTTGGCAATGACCCAAAGAAGGGTATAAACCCAGTTAGGCTGTTAGTATACAGGTAAAGCTGACGAAGGTTGTAAGCTTTGGGAAGAGAAGCTGGGATAGGGCCATCAAACTTGTTTGATGAGAGGATTAAATCCTGAATATTCGGGAGTGTGTAGCCAATATTGGAGGGTAACCTTCCAACAAGCGAGTTGTTTGCTAAGCCAAGAAATGTCAGAGATGACATATTGAATAGAGATGGTGGGACTGTCCCAGACAAGTTGTTGGCTGTCAAGGCCAGTACCTGCAGTGTTGGAATATGACCTAAGCTGTCTGGTATACTCCCTACTAAATTATTCTCTGTAAGAAGAAGATCGATGAGGGAGGAAAGGTTCCCTAGCTAGGAAGGTATTTTTCCTGAAATATGATTATAGCTTAAATCGAGGTATTGAATAGGTGGGGAGGTGGCAGTAACAACAGGTATAGAACCAACAAGGTTGTTCTTTTGGAGGGAAATGTCAAGAAGAGATGGACTATTTGCTAGGGACTCCGGGATGACCCCTGTCAGAGCATTCACCCCAAGATCGACATATGTAAGAGAATGGCTGCTGCCCAAAGACGGTGGTATGTTACCTTCCAAAGTGTTCATGCTGAGGTTGAGATCACGGAGCCGGCTTAGGAGGCCAAGCTCCGATGGTATGCCACCATTGAAGCTATTGTTTGACAGCTGAAGCCTTGCAAGAGAGGTCAGGTTGGCAACGCAAGGCGATATGGGGCCTGAGATGCCTTCTGACTTAAGGTCCAGCTCAATCACACGACAAGGGGCCACCGTGCTGCAAGTGATCCCATGCCAGTCGCAAACGTCCAAGGACGTGTTCCTCCATGAAGCTAAAACTCCTGCTGGACCCGAGATCCTGGACTTGAAGCAGAGGAGAGCTTGCCTATCATTTTCAGTTTCATTGCAGGTGGATAGTGGCAGGCTGCAAAGGAAGCAGAAGAGGTATAGAAACCAAACAAAGCCTGGAAGCAAGACACCCGAAGATGCCATTTTTGTTGTTCACAGGCTACAGCTATGGAGTATGGTGATGAAAGCTTTCATTTGCAGACGGATGTTTAAGTACTCAGCTGTTGAGTGTGTCAGTAGCCAACCGCTCAAAATAGCACACATATTCGCGGCTCAGTGGTCAATATGATGGAAACGGGCATGATGCATCAGGGGTATGTTTTTGGATCAGATATGGTGTTCATTCAAACTATTTGCTGACTAAATTAGCTGTGACTTGGTAGTTGCTCAAATCCACACTTGTGGAATATTTGTATTGTGAACACGCATTTGGACGCTAAGAGATTACCCTTCACATCTCAGACTGGGACAGGGTGATGCCTCGAACCTCTGCTTACATACATTGCATTGACCCAGCCATCCTCCAACATCAGCAGGAGTGTGTGGTTGCCTGAGGTACAGTATGGATGCACGCTTCATCCTGAAGAATAATGAACATGAATTTTGATATTACAAAAATGTGAAATATATAATACAGGAAGTGAATGCTAGGAATTTATGACATTCAAAATTTCACAAAAAAAGAGTGTTTGTGTCATGTGCAATCATAAGAAGAGTTAAATATACTCATCTTCTATTCTTTTTATAGAAGATAAACAGTCATGTTTCTGGTTGAATGTTTGGAGGTTCCCAATCTTGTGGACGATGCTTCGGTGCCTTAAGGCACCTACCTTTGTGTCTATGACATATGGGCCCAACAGGTGGCTGGCCCACATGTCAGTGACCCAAAAGCAGGTGCCTTTAAGGCACTGAACCTGCGTCCCAATCTTGTAACATCCCCAACGTTCACAACGTTTTCAAATTTTCATCCAATTATAGGGTACAAACAACTCTATAATCAGGTTAAGGTTTAGAGTGTGGTTTGTATTTCAGAATGAAAAGAAGGTGTGGAGAATGTTTAAAGTAGGAACCAAAAAGGAAAATCATCAACCAATATGATAATCCATGTAGCATACGAAAAACACCAAAAGATAAAGGGATAAGTATATTTTCCGTCCCTCAACTCTTTCGAAAATATAGAAATCGTCCCTTAACTCCAAAACCGGTAAAGGTTAGTCCCTCAACTTCTCAAACCGGATAAGTTTAGTCTCTCATACCGCTTCGGATGGCTTCGTTGATGATGTGGCATGGTTTTGACCCTGGTATTCAGAGTTGACTGTCACCTCTTCTTCATTCTATTTCCCACGCAATAGACATTTCATCGAATAGTTGATGTGCACACTCTGGCTCGTGGGCTCCTGCCACCTGCGCTCGTCGGCTACTTGCTGTTGTGGCCAACTTAGATCGGGAGATTGGAGAGCCATGGAGAGGCGGGAGGAGATCGCGGTGGCCGGTGGCTGCACGGCCCTGGTCGTAGCTTGAGCCTTGAGCAGGAGGGGGCCCGACACCGGCTCTTTTCCTCCTCCACGCCGATGCACGGCCCTCATCGTAGCTTGATCCAGCGGCAGCCTCTCGTACGTGGTGTTGCCGGACGTGGCTGCAATCACCATGACGGGGCTAGAGCCCGGACGCGGGTAGCTCTCCCATCACGGTACCCGCCCACAGGCGAGGTACGCTGCGAGCCTCGTTGTTCCAAGTGGCGCCGGCGCCGGACAGGGACAGTATCTCAAACCGGCCCGTAGGACGAAGGCGGCCGCCCCGGTCCGCGCGGGCTCCAATCGTGAATGCATCTGTTACTTGTGTACTTCTAGCCGGGAACGCGTCCTTTCCAGCGAGGTGCACGGCTAGCTCGAGTTCTTTCCGAGCTAGCTACCGCAGAGCTACACGGAGAGAGATGCATACGTACACAAGCAACGTATGCTAGCTAATCGATTTACCCTGAAGGAATCAATCAACCTGGTAGTAGCTAGCTTCGACTGATAAGAGGAAGTAGAAAAAAAATGGGGATGCAAAATAAATTGGACCGTGGTGTTCAGCTCAATGCCAACGAGACGTGGTGCCAGCCAAGGACCTTATCGGCCTCGCCGCCTCGTCAAAGCTTGATGCGGCGAGTACGGTGACCAAGCTAGAGGTGGCGTGAACGCTGGCCAAGCTCCAGGCCGCTTCCCTCGCAGAAGCTGCCACGGCCACCAGGGTGAAAACCATGCCACGTGATCAACGGAACCATAAATGGTATGAGGAACTAAAGTTATCTGGTTTGAAAAATTGAGGGACTAAGATTTACTGGTTTTAAAGTTAAGGGATCATTTCTATACTATCGAGAGAGTTGAGGGACGAAAAATATACTTATCCCAAAGATAAATGAAGTTCTTTTATCATTTATGCACATGGCATAAATAACCATATTTTTTGATGATTTTTCACAGGTCATCATATCTTAACATTCTCTACTACCATGATCTTTTTCTCCTTTTTTTTCAAAGGTTCAGTACACAAAAGTACTTATCAGGACTGGCTAGGTTTTTGTCTAATGTTTATAGTAAGTTAAGTGGTTAATTTTAGGTTGCTTCTTAGTTTAGGTTTAAGTCGGACAACACAAATAGTTTGAGGGCTCAACGGTTCTTTTTCCCTCGAAACGTAAAAGTGAAAGTGTTCTCGATCTCTAGCTATGGATTTGCTTAATGGATAATTACTTTGAATCAAATTCTCGTGAGGCCAAGAACACAAGAACAGCTACCAATGTTGCTAAAATTTGCACAAAACGTTGTGTTGAAAGGACAAGAATCAGATTAAAAAATTGTTGCAGCCCTCTCTGGATCGTAGGAATTTCATAGGATATTTGGAGGATCTTAGTGTGGCAAACTTGTGCCGGAAATGTTCTTTAGGTTGACTTCCTACGCCGTAATGTCGTAGAAATTTCAACATCTCCTGGAATCACACTTTCCTTGTGTTCTAATTTTGTTCTATTGAAACCCTGCATGTTTTTTCACACACAAAACGAAAACACTAGTTCTGCATGTTTTTTCCGCAAAAAAGACTATTTCTGTAAGTTTTATGTGTTTTCCAATAATTGTGCCGTACGCGTATACCTGTCAAATTCCTACATTTTCTTATATTTCTCCTGGTTACGATCCAGAGAGGCCCCGCCTGTCCATCTCATTAGTCTGAACCTCCTTTTGGCGCCGCACTTTCTTCAGCCTAAGATAGCGAGGCGACTCTATGGCTGTATGCACTGCATTGACCCAAGCCAGCGTCACCGCACTTCTTCTATGTCTTTGGTGCACCTTCCAGGGTGCATCCTGTCAATACGGCCTTTTCAAGCCAACTCCTTTCCCTCAGGAAAAAATATTTTCTGTACAGATGTTAATGAATAATAGTGAGGGCTACAGTTTGCCAAAAGAAAAAACGTGCATCCTGTCAAAAAGGGCCACCGGCACTTGCCTGATGAACAGTGGCGCTCCATAATCTGGACGCGCTACCAAGACCAGACCAGCGGCAGAGAACTTTCCTGAAGAACGTTAATGGTACGGTAATATTGGCGGTATGAACGAGCGTCTCATCAGGTCATCATCATAGGATCCATCCATCAAGTCTCTCTCTCTCTACTTCAAAGAAAAAAAAAATCCATCCATCAAGCTCAGATTCAAATAAATATGATGCTTAAGGGCATCTTGACCCTCAAATGGTCCGCATACGTTCGGATCGTGAAATCCATCTAACGTGGGCATGTATCGGTCCGCCGAGCGGTCCGGACATGCTTTTTTCTGCAATCCAAAGACAAACGTCGGGGGGCTTTGTGGGCGTCTGGACAACACCCACTTCCGCGTCTGATTGCCCTGACCCACTAAAAACCCACCGCTCTCGCTCGTGCGCATTCCCTCCCAGCACCAACTGCCTGCATTCATGCCGTTGTAGAGCGGCCGCTCCACATTGATGTCGGCTCAGAGCGGACATGATCTCTCGTTGGTTCCGCCATTGAAGCGATGCCGAGGGTGCCGCCCACGACGCGTCCTCAGTATCCATGCATGCGTTACTGGATGGGACGGTCGGATATCTACCACGCCCGTTCAACGCCGTGTCTGTCCGTATGCCGTTATTAAGCAGGCTCGCCGGCCGAGAAACCCACTCTGGCGCCACGCATTAATGCACCTGGATGCCTGGCCTCAGCGAGATCCGGCTAACTCCACAACTCAAGTCGCTCGCTCCACATCCTCCTCCCTTGTCCACACCACATCTGCCATGACTGCAGGCGGCAATGCAATGTGGGAGAGCCTATCAACGGATATGAAGCACGAGGTGGCCGC